ACCAGCCAGCCAGCCAGCCAGCCAGCCAGCCAGCCAGCCAGCCAGCCAGCCAGCCAGCCAACCAACCAACCAACCAACCAACCAACAACCTACATTACATATAAATAACACACTTCACACGATTCCTTCTTTATTCCACCATACACTAATTCTAATAAGTGTTGATGTTGTTTTGCAGACGTCCCATCCCTGAGAGAGCCCGGTACTGTGGCAGTCCTGCAGGATCAAACCCAGCTCAGCTTCAGTCACCACATCGAGGTGCACAAGCCAGGACAACCTTTCCGCTTCGGCAAGCTGCTTCTCCTACTGTCCAGTCTGCGAGAGGTAAACACAAGCTTTGACCATCGCACAGTGGGGCATGCCTCTTCTCTTTTTCGGAAGGTGTGGAGGGTTCTTTTAAAAGTGTCGCTCTTCCCAAACATGGAAACACCCATTTAATGTCCTCTCCGAGGGACGTCCCTAACCAAAGCTACTACTTATTTTCACCCGAGTGAAGTGAGGAATGTTGTGCTTTTGTTGTGTCTTTCCCTGGGCTACAACGTTGAGGCAAGTCAGGGATTCAAACCCAGAACCTCTGGGTCCTGACATGGGCCATATACCCTAACCACACGCCACTGGTTGGTTTTTCTAGTTGGAGATTGACTCTAAGCTTGAGCAGTGATCATAATCAGGGTAAAACGTTTGCACTGCAGGTTTCAGGTCTACATGTATATATTTTACTCTCAACTGGTGTGTTACGCCAAAAGGCAGTTATACTGGCTATACCGATACAGATCTATTCTGTATTGTTTCAGGTGGAGATGTAGATGTTTTGGTATAAAACAGAGTTATTTTTGTGTTCTTCAGGTCCAGTGCTCCAGTCTGGAGAGTGTGTTCTTTACAAAGATGACCACAGGAGGAGTCAGCATGGACCAGTTGGTTCTGGACATGTACAAATCCCTGCAGGCAGAAGACTTGTCTGACAGCTACAGGTGTTATGGAAGGGCCTCTACTTAGTCTGGAGCAATTTTAGGCATAAGCCCAACAAATCCACGCCAGTTCATAATTAGCAGTTAGTTCATACATGACAGGCCGTGTTTAAGTGAAGTCACCCAAGGCGCTTTACATGTGGTTTACCCCGAAGCCGGTTTCAAGTGGCTCCATCTGAACGCTCCGAAATCACATTGAAAGCGCCTCGATCCCAAGCCACTTCTAGAGGTGGTTTCGAATCGCTTTCCCCGCATCGCGATTTGCGTCTGAACGCAATGTGATTTCAATGTGACTTCGCCTGGTCATGGATTACAGGGTGATATTTCTTTATTTATATGCAATACCAACTTTTACGTGGCAGCAACTTAAAGAGCAGTAATGGTCAAATAATGTGTCCGTTCTATGACGAGCCTCACCGCCTCTGGCATTCGGCCGAGATACGCTGGGAGGGGGGCACCAGCAAGCAGGTCGTTGACCTCTGACATTAATAACACGCGACCTTGCGTGTTTTCATTAAACAACAATAAATGTAGCTCAGGTGAATTGTGATCGGACACGGTTTCACAGGAGTGTGTGGCACGTGGACCAGATGTGAGGAATGTGAGTTACCCGAATCGCGGTTTGGGTGACTCACATAAACACGGCCTTATACAGGTCCTATAGAGCATTTTCAATCACTGTCCATATCAATGAAGTGTGCAGGTGTAGACCGCCATCTTGATGTCCTTGATTTGCATTTCAATGCACCATGCTCAAGCCTACACCACATATTTTACAAGTTTTTAATGCATTTTCCAGTATTTTCTTCTGTACGCTATGCGGTTAATACATTAGAAGTTATATAACATCACATGAAAACACCATTGCTACAATCTTCTGGCTCTCACCAGAGTGCAGTACAAGTAGTTCAGTAACAAGTCTGGGTCCATATTTTATGACAATGTTGATCTATGCTCTTTTATAACATCTTTTTGTGTGTCAATTGTATCATATAAAAAGTGATATTGTATAATGTGATGTACAATCAAACAGTAGACATGACATGACATATTAAAGGTATCTGTACTCTGTGGCAGGACATCCAGTAACAAAGCATTCAGCTGATTTTCAATATCGAGGCAGGTTGAATTCTATGCTGAATATAGCTGGATCTTTTATGGTAGTGCTCCTAATACTTGATGAACCTGCAACAGAATATGAGGGTTGTTCAATCAAGATTTCACTGGTCTGTATTTTAGGGTATCAATTGAACAGGCTTCAGAACATGTCATGCACTGCTGTTGACAACTCGAATTTCCGATTTGGATGCAATTGGAATTGATGTGAATATAAATTTTTGTTTGAGGACCAAATATTATCAATTTCTGGTACATTTGACATTGAAGTTCGTGCCTTCTCGGTATGAAATGAAAAGAATATGGTGTATGATGATGATGATGATGATGGTGTATTCAGCATCACCTTGGTCCAAGCCGATTCTTGGTCAGGCTGGTACCTCAGTTCATCTTCTCTATTTGTTTACAGAATTCTGCCTCCTAAAATAACCTGTAGTAGCCTCCTTCGCAGTCTTGTTGGGCGTCGGCGTTATTTTTTCTCTGAGCGACGCGAGTAATATGCGGCCGCGAGGGATGATTTGCTGCCGAGGGAGTTTTTGCCACGGAGAGAAGGATTCACGCTCGAAACCTTCTCTCCGTGGCAAAAACTCCCTCGGCAGCAAATCGTCCCTCGACGCCCAACAAGACTGCGAAGGAGGCTAAACCTGTAGCGGGACAGGAGAATTTCTTATTGAACAGCCCTTGTGGATATAGTCCCAGCCAGCAGTGTGCACCAGAGATGAAGTACATGTAGGCCTGTAGGTTTAGCACAGATGTGTCAGGGTAGTACATGTGGGGAAATGATGATTAGATTAACCTTTTGCTAACAATGACAGCTGACAAATGTAGATAACAAGAGTCTTTCAATACGAGTAAGGGAGAGAGAGTTGCAGATGTGTAAGAATAATGTTGAATTTCACACAGTCTGGATGGCAGCTTTGTTTTAAGATAAGGCCACACCAATTTAATTTCTTTTTTCTCAGATTTTTCTGAAAAAATATGAAGTGACAGGGCGAAATAAAAAAAGAACACAGGCCAAGGCATCCCCTAATATATAGCCGGGAATGTTACAATATGAGCCATGAAGTGAACATACCAGGCTGATTTATAATTAAAACAATAAATTTTGAAGTTTTATTGAAATAAAATCGCATTGTTGCATTGAAAACCTTTAACAACTAGGAAGAAAAGGACTTCTACCGTTGGGGCTAAAATATGTCTTTCATTGAGCATTTTGCAGTTGATTTTGAATTTAAAAAAATTATTTTTTTTTGCAAATCAGAAAAAAATGGACAGGGCAAATACGAGAAGCAACAAATTAAATTGGTGTGGCCTAAGCTGTCAAACAATTTACATGTAAGTCATTAAAATGCCTCAAAAGTGAAGCAACACAAGTATAGTTATGACACAGACCTTTGCATTTGGTAGAGTGAGATGATTCAAATGTGTCAGACCAATAAAATATGAAGACCATAGTGGTGTTCCACTGTAAGGTGGAGCATAGGTAAAGTATACTTCATCTAGTTAAGATGTTCATGTATGCAAAATAATGAGAACTGTTCAGTGAAGAATATAGACATGCACTAAGAACATGCAGGCACTAAGTCTTACATGTATTTCTTTTACCATCTTGTAGTAGTGCTATAATTGTCTTCTGATTACAACTTATAAGACAAATATAAAAGCCAACATTTACAACTGAACTGAATTACATTCAATGTTAGTTAACCATACAAGATAAATAATCCAAACTTTATTGCAAGGTTTCTAGCAAATGTGAAAGAAAGCACAAATATCATATAAATTGACAAAAGTATGGCCAAACTTTTATTCAGTGATGTTTTGATCTAGAGACAAACAATTTGAAAAAAGACTCATCACACCAGGTTTCACCAGTAACAAGGTGAAAATACAGGAAAATGAGAGATTCAAATTATGCAAGTTACTTTTTTCAAAGCAGAAATAGGTAACGTTATTCAACGAGACATACAAGAGACCAAGTCCACATTTTGTCTGTACAAAAGTCAGTACAGACAGTGCCAGGGCAGAAGGTTCTTGCAAGTTGTTGTCTCTACACTGTACTTGGTTCCCTATACCAGTAAGTCATGCTAGACTGAAGTCTGTCGTTGGATGTCTATTCAGGGTCGGTCATTTTCACCAGAATCTGAGAAATTAATCATCTTACTGTTTGCTGATGAATGTAATGTTACCAGTTCTGCATGCATGCCCGTAGCTAGGGAAGGAGGGGTTTAGACGAAACCCCCACAAGGCTCAAAGGTCCACTTTTTGGTCCACTTTTTACCTAAAGGTCCAAGATTTTTCTTTAAAAGATGGAAGATTTGTGTCACCAGCGAGGCTGGAATCGTAGGAAAATGGCTCACTTTGTCATTAAAAAAAGTTATCTCTGATTTTTTCTTTGAAATCCTCTAAAAAAATGCAACAAATGCCATTTCAGAAGGTTCATTTTTCAAAATTTTCCGGGGGAGCATGCCCCCCCGACCCCCTTAGGAACCTTGTGCCTTTGGTGCTCGCTGGTCCCTCAAGCAGTGGAAAGACCCCCCCCCCTTCAAAATCCTGGCTACGGGCATGGCATGTGTCATCTTGTGTTGAAATGGATGACCATGGTAATGGTAGTGAAGACTATCTAGTGTTTCTAACTAGTACCAGAGATTGTCACAGAGGCAATCTACTCAGTCAAGGAACCGGAAGCTCTGAGAATCGGCTCTGTTTCCTGGAAGTATTTCCTGAACCAGTCTACGTGTTCTCTCTTCTGCTGCAAGGTCAGGTACGGGTTCTTGGACAGTCCGGTTATCACCAGTTCCATGAAGTGTCTGATCGGCCCCTTCTGTGGGAAGTCCTCCAGTAGGTCATCCAAGAACACATGTTCATGGAAACCAACTGTAGCCTCATCTTCCAGACCTGAAACAGTAAGAACACATGTTCATGGAAACCAACAGTTATCTTCCAGACCTGAAACAGTAAGAACACATGTTCATGGAAACCAATAGTTATCTTCCAGACCTGAAACAGTAAGAACACATGTTCATGGAAACCAATAGTTATCTTCCACACCTGAAACAGTATCAACACATGTTCATGGAAACCAACAGTTATCTTCCAGACCTGAAACAGTAAGAACACGTGTTCATGGAAAACAACAGTTATCTTCCAGACCTGAAACAGTAAGAACACATGTTCATGGAAACCAACAGTTATCTTCCAGACCTGAAACAGTAAGAACACATGTTCATGGAAACCAACAGTTATCTTCCAGACCTGAAACAGTAAGAACACATGTTCATGGAAACCAACAGTAGCCTCAGACCTGAAACAGTAAGAACACATGTTCATGGAAACCAACAGTTATCTTCCAGACCTGAAACAGTAAGAACACATGTTCATGGAAACCAATAGTTATCTTCCAGACCTGAAACAGTAAGAACACATGTTCATGGAAACCAACTGTAGCCTCAGACCTGAAACAGTAAGAACACAATCATGTTCATGGAATTTACCAACAGTTATCTTCCAGACCTGAAACAGTAAGAACACATGTTCATGGAAACCAACAGTTATCTTCCACACCTGAAACAGTAAGAACACATGTTCATGGAAACCAACAGTTATCTTCCAGACCTGAAACAGTAAGAACACATGTTCATGGAAACCAACAGTTATCTTCCACACCTGAAACAGTAAGAACACATGTTCATGGAAACCAACAGTAGCCTCATCTTCCAGACCTGAAACAGTGAATCATCTAAGAATATGTGTTCATGGAAACAAACAGTAGCCTCGTACATGTCACTTGTAAGACCAAACCTAGAATATGCCGCAACAGTATAGGATCCATATACTACATGTAGTACAGAGAAAGACAAAGACAAACTGGAAAGGGTACAGAATCAAGCTGCAAGATTCTGTATGAACAACTATAAAAGAGGTGTTAGTGTCACGGAAATTAAAAGAAACCTTTTTGTCACTGGAAGACAGAAGAAAAATGTACAGACTTTGCATAATATACAAAATGACTAATAAAACTAGTGGATGTCCCAACTACTAAGTACCTAATACCAGCCCAGAGGAGAACAAGACATAGCCATGCCTTCAAGTACCAGAATTATCAACCAAGGATTGAGGTGTTCTTTCATTCAATTCATTATTTCCTAGAACTATCGCAGAGTGGAACTTGCTGTCATTTTCATTGATAATACCAGTCTAACTTGTACATGTATCAGTGAAGAATTGTTGTTGTCTAAGATGTAACACTGCCTACCTTGGTCATTTTGAATGGGGAAGGTCCACATCTTGCCTTCCTTTGTCCACTTTATCATCTCCTCAAACCCATTGCGAGGAGGCAGATCCACCTGTGTCTGCAGCTCTGCTGTCTGCTCCTCACACCATAATGTACTTCCTGTTATAGTAAATAAATGAACTTTATTGCTCGACAATCGTACATGGTACAATGTGTGGCAGTTACAATACTACAAAACTAAACTATCTTACTACATGTCTTACTACAAACTACCATCTATACAGTATATGGGTTACTATATGGTCATGTATTGATGATATGGTCTCGTTTATGAAATAAAGTGTACAGAAATTGACCTACGTAAGCAGATATGGTAGTAGGACATGACAATAATTCATGGAATGTATCGTACTGTGTACCAGATTGGGTGAACTTTGTCTTAGTAGTAATAGTCTGTAACAGTGTATCTCTTTCTTTGCTATTGGTGGGACAAGTCATAACAAAGTGAATATGATATGGAGCACTTCTCTTTACACTTTTTGACAGAAAAAACATGAAGCGACAGGGTGAAAAAAAAAACAACAAAAAAACAGACCTTGGCATCCTATGATAACCCCAAATGCTATGCCAGAACCCATGAAGTCAACCTACCAGGCTGATTTGTAATCCAAACAATGAATTTCAACTACTGCATTGATTGTTACATGAAAAAACTGTAACAACTCTGAATTTCTTCAACTGTTGGGGCCAAAATATATAAGAGGATTTTGGAGTTGATTCAGAGACTGAAATGCTTTTTTTTTGTTTGCAAATCACAAAAAATGAAGCGGACGAATCCGAGAGGCAGCAAATTAAATTGGTGTGGCCTGAGCGACCCATATCTTTACATTTCACTCCAGACAATTGAAAATATAATTATACTATCATAATGATGCTGCGTAAATGACTTGACTATTTTATTGATATCAGAAATACAATGAACAGGATGAATTAGTAACTGACTCAAAATCAACAAAAATACTTGATATACACATATATGCGGACATGTCAAAAGGTCATTGACCCGATTATATATATTTATGTCATACCAGGGCCGCGATGCAGGTGTTCCGGACTGGGCCGTACTTTACTGGGCGCGGTCGGGCTGGTACCTTGGGCGATACGGAATACACATTTATGTCATACCAGGGCGGCAATACGGGTGTTCCGGCTGGGTTGTACTTTATGGTATGGCACAGGCTTCTTTACTCGTATGGCCCGGGATTCCAAATGTTCCATACAACGATTCACCGCTTTCGATAATTTGAATACAAAATTTGGATGTTGGAATTGATGTTGTTGCATTTTTTGGGGTTTAGGGACACCAAATTTTCGCTCATTTCGCATTGAAAGGCGTGTTTTCTTGGGTGGGTATGACATAAATAAAATACTAGTACTACACGGTGTATTCCGCATCACCCTCGGTCCCAGCCCTCCAGCCTTCAGGCGATCCGACCCGCGGTTTGGCTGGTACATCGGACGATACGGAATACCCCGTGTTGTATTCCATATATATTGGGTCAATGACCTTTTGACATGTCAACATAACTATAGAAAACCAGTATTGAGTGAGGATACTTCTCTATCCAGAACTGACCTATATGTAACTGATAGACAAGTGTGAAAATTGCCTTACCCTCAACCTGCCAGTTTTTTACTTCCTCCGGCTTGAAGACTCCTAGTCGTTTTCCCTCAAACAACGACCTGCCAAAAATAAACAACAATCACATTTTCCATACGGCCTCAAAACAAATTTCCTGTTTGACCATACTAATACGAGCGATCACTCTTTTTCAAGACATATGCAAATTATTGGTAGGCAATGATCGGCACGGCAGAAATCGACACTACAAAGGAACGTGTACGGCTGTCAATGTTCTGGATTTCCTTCGTTGAAATTTATTTCATTTCCCTCTACATGTACCCTCTACATGTACCTGCTGCCTCATTATTTAAAGTACATGTCTGAGTCCATCACACCAGTTTTCACAATGTCCAGAAAAGCTGAATCAATAACAAATTACTCATTACCTCCTGGTAGATGGACTTGTTCTGCCGACTTGCTCTGATCTGGGCTGAGTTTGTTTCCTCTGCTGGAATTCCTGATGAAAGTTCTTTATCTCTGGCCTGGAAACAAAGCTTAGTACACTTAACTTATATACAGTAGTGTGAAGCAATCATACTGTTTTATCTTAAATACATAGTATACTTTCAATAATAAGTAGCTTAGGTACACATATATACAACTACGTACACACTAGGTTTTATTCATTTCCTCAGTACACATGCATGGGTGGTCCCTTCAGCTGAATACTAGTAAGCATAAGGGGTCAAGTTCCACATGAACATAAAAAATGATAGAACATGGAGTATTTAGTAATAATTGAGAATAGGAGTAGTTAAATATGAGTAATAAATCAATGACTAATCAAAATACATCCCAGCACCATGGCGTGAAACCGTGCTCTACCCGTTTTCCCTTCAACTTTGCAGGGTGTAACAGAAAATTTTTTTAACCAATCCATCAATGTCAATGGACAAAATCAACAAAAATCTTGGGAAAAAGGAAAAAAAAACATCCAAAATACCACCGACAACCACTCTCAACCCCATGATTTGCCACTCAAAATGCCAGAAATTGCATTTTTTGAAGGTTTGAAAATCCCCAAATTTCTGGGGGAGCATGAACTCATACATTGTGAGCCCTTTTAGTGCTCTTGTCATGCCTACAGCTCTCCCCCCACCCAGATCCAATCATGAACCTGGGCTGAGGGAATTACATTTTAAAGTGTCCTCCCTGGCTAATTTGGCATTTTAAACTTTCCATCATTTTGTCACAAAGAAATTTAGAAAGAACTGCAGTTGTCCTGAATATTGATACCTGGGTACTGATGGGTTATGAATGTGATTTTATGGACCGTATGGATGACGTCATCATTTTTAATGCCCCAAAAATAATTATCTTTAAAGCTATAATACAACACTTTGGTGTAAATAACTGGAATAAAAGTATGATTTTCATGTGCATAATGGTCAAAGCTACAAACTTACGTTTGGCACAAATTGAATTATTGATATCTACTAATTACCCGTAGTTATTAGAGAATAACCTAATAGCCTAATTAAAAGCTAGTTATTCTCTAATATTCAGTACAACTACAGTTCTTCTAAATTTCTTTGTATCAAAACGATGGAAAGTTTGAAATGCCAAATTAGCCAGTGAGGACACCTTAATGCTGGCTAGAGCCCTGCACAGTGAGGCATGAGGACTACATGAGCTGACATTGAACCTGACCTGCTGGTCCCTCCTCCCTGCCCCTCCCCCTCGGGGTCCTGGGAGTGGCGCGGTCCTCTCCTCAGCTCTGTTCTTCTGGCCTGGACCTCGTTCTACTCGTAAGCCAGAAATCAAGTCCCTAGAACAAAGGTGGGACAGACATGTTTCATACATAAACATCATCTACTTATCATTTTCCTCACAAATCATGTCATGTATGAGGCACGTAAAGGCAACTGGAGTATTTTCCATTACTATTAAACATAGTCATCCAATGAAAAAAAATGGAGATTGCAAATTTACTGAGAGGCAAATTACCCTCCTTCACCATTTTCAAAAATCAAACTAAAGTAGCTTTCATAAATAACCCCACACATTCCTAATTTTTGTTTATGTTTCCTTGTTTACTACTTTCATTACTACTTTTCATTATTGTATATTGTATTGTATCGTATTTTATTGTTTTGTTTTATTTACCCGTTACCTAAGTTATTTCTTATTTATCCGATTTATTTGAATTGTTAATCACGTTATGAAGGGAGGCCTCCTCATAAGCATTTTATGCTTCCGGCCTCCCTGCACTGTTACATTTCATTTATATTTTCTTGTGTTTGTATTGTTACATTTTGTTTTAAAGTGCGAAATAAACTGAACTGAACTGAAAATAGGAGAGGGTGATTCCAAGGATTAAGTTGGCATGGCCTAAAGTTTTCACCCTGAATTTGAAGCAAGCTTGCCTAAAATGGAAAGCTTCCAAAGTGTGAAGTTGAAACAGGAAAATCTGCTAGGTAAGTTTAGTGAGGAGTTTTACCCCAGACTGCTGTTGTCTGCAGCACTGGCCTTCCCCGCAGACGTGGTGACCTCGTGTCTCCTGAGCTGCTGCAGCAGGTCAGACTCCACCTTCTCCCCTCCCAGCCGCTCCGCTACAGCTTTAGCTGCTGCTGCCAGCTCAGGGTCCACTTCTGCAGTACTCCTGCAATAACAACAGTACAGCTTTAGCTGCTGCTGTCAGCTCAGGGTCCACTTCTGCAGTACTCCTGCAATAACAACAGTACAGCTTTAGCTGCTGCCAGCTCAGGGTCCACTTCTGCAGTACTCCTGCAATAACAACAGTACAGCTTTAGCTGCTGCTGTCAGCTCTGGGTCCACTTCTGCAGTACTCCTGCAATAACAACAGTACAGCTTTAGCTGCTGCTGCCAGCTCAGGGTCCACTTCTGCAGTACTCCTGCAATAACAATATTAATGGTACAGATATTTGTTTACCATAGGACAGACACCTTTGATGCTACATGGCACAAACAATGCTAATTCTTTCATATCTTACCTGTACAACTCCTCAAATAACATCATCCAATCTGTCTTCAAATCTGATGTAATCTCCCACAACATATTCTTCCACAATATCTGGGTCCGTGTGTACTCATGGTCATATTTCTAACTGTTGTTATTATGTGTATTTCAATTGCCATGTACTGGGTTTATATGACATTTGTACATATAGGTGTACCGTATATAAGGGATCTCCCCAGAAATTTAGGACAGAATGGAGGAGGGTGCGAAATATCGGTAAATTTGACCAAAGAACCCTGGAAAAGGGTGTAAAAACACTAGTTTTGAAAATTAACAGGGTGGAGCTGAGATAAGGACTGGGTGGAGGAGCTCCACTGCTCCATTGTTTAGGGAGGTCCCTGCAGTGAGTGTACATGGATTTTTACTTGCATCATTGGCTGTCATCCCTTTTGCAGTATAAAGGAAATAATGGCAATCGTCTCTGATTGTTTTTCGCACGATCATTCAGGGCTCGAAATTCATTTTTGGGAATAGTTGCACTGTTGCACCCAACCTAAAAAATTGGGTGTACAAAATTTGCTGTGGGTGCACCATATAAGATAAAATAAGTAGAATGTCATCAAAAACTAAGTACTACAGGAATGATGACTATTTTTCTGAAACCTAGATGTTAACAATGTGCTGAATACTAGCACTACTCTAAATTTAACATCTTATACGTAAACCTACAAAAAACATTTGGGTACAGAAAAAACTGGGTGCACAGCTCCAAATTTGGTGCACTAAGGTGCACATGCATCCAGTATTTCAAGCCCTGTCCTTAGTTCTAAAAGTCTAAGTCGTGCAGGTAAAACTTGACTGGGCAGATACATCTTAGATGTTACTTGCACCAGTACAGGTGTGCAGAAAGAATTATTTTGAGCCCTGATATTGTAGCTGTACCTGTCTGATGGCCTGTCACCGCTCTTCTTCAGTAAACAGGCTGCTGTATGCAGACATCTGGGGAGGTCAGTACCCAGTCTCACACCGGACAACCTGTGCAAAAATATAATATTAAAGATAATATGTTATTAAAGATAGACTATGCAAATTCTGTAATAATTCTTGCATTGAAGAATCTGATGAATCGCATTTTATGCTTGACTGTATATTATATGTTAATGAATGTAAATCACTGTTCAGTTCAATTAAGCTCCACAAAAAATGTAAAACATTATCAAAGGAAGACACTTTTAAATATATCAAATCATGTACAAATATAGGCGTCATCAATGAAGTATGTACGTATATTTCAAAATGTTTCAAAAAGAGAGAAGAAGCCATTAGAACTTAGATCTATATCACTTTATATATATATTTCTTTTTTTTTAGCATTGTAATAATTTGTATACCTTAGACCTTATGTTAGCCTTTCTTTATTACTATTGTTACAATACGGTATCAGTTGTAGTACTCTCTAGTACATTGTACTTTGTACATCCCTGCATTTATCCCCCCGGGGAATGAACATGCAATAAAGTTTCATTCATTCATTCATTCTAATTTTGTACAAAATGTTGAGAAACATGGAATAACTTTACGCCTCTAGCATTGAATTTTGTCCAACGTGTCGAGTGCAATCCCCTGCCACCAATCACTATTCTGGTATGAACTGATCTGCCGATCCACATGCCTGGCTTCTAATATAGCCTAGCCTGGAGTCCAGCCTTGTTAGCTTTAGCTTTAGATGTTGGGGAGCGGACTAGAGGCTTCAGGCTATTAAATATGCCCGACCCAATAGTTATGTTGAGTCGTTCCGGGCCGGGCTGGCGGCCTGCCTGCCCGCCTTAGCCCTGACCTCCTTCCCCCCCCCCCTAACGGCGCCCGGCGCGGGGTTATTTAGGGGTAACAAAGACGAAGAAGAAGAAAAATATAGCCAGGCCGGCGGCAGCACTGAACACCGGATTCAAACCCAGTATCACCCATCTCTGCCTCATACATTGCACGAACTTGGCATTACTTTTGTCTATTTCACCCCAGCGATTTCACCCTCCAGTGGGGGTGAGATCGCTAGCGATTTCGCCCTGCCTCCGTAGATTTTGCCCCCTCCAGCCCCTTAGTTAGTGTAATCTTTTACACCGTACCACAGGTATGGCAGGTACACAAATTTGATTAACATTTCTTATGACATTATTACAGGTTCGGTTGAAGCAAGAAAGTAACCTCCTTGGTTTAAATATTCCCTGTTGCTATGCTTAACAGCATAGGCATCTCAACAACGCAGGATTTGAGCTGATCATTGGTAAATAGTTTTGAGAGTGTTAACTTGCAACATACTCTCATCTGCCGAATAAACATACCCCCCGGAATAAACGTACCCCCCGGACAAATCTTCAAAATCAAATAAACATACCCCCGTAATAAACGTACCCCCCGGAAAATTACCAAAATAGATGGGTAACCTGTGTCTCTTGTACTAAAATGCACCCTTACTGATATATGCACAAATCTTTAACTGTTATTTGCAATTAGGAATTTAAATAGACAAAAAAAAGAGCATTTAATATTTTGTATTTTGATAAGCACCACCCATGACAATAGAACATTCAGACGAATTTATGCACGCGGTGATTGCAAAAACCGGCCCGAAAATGACAAGTTTCTCGCTACAATATGCGTTTATAAACGTCTTCACGTCGATGATTTGTCAATTTTTTTCACACGAAGTTGAAAAAAATTACTGGTTTTCAAAAAATTAATAAACGTACTGTGCAAAATAAGAATGTACTGGGTGGATGTTTGGGCCCAAAAAAATAAACGTACCCGTATGTTTATTTGGCAGATGAGAGTAATTCCGCAAATACAACGAAATACTATTATTAGAAATATTTAACAAATTTGTGTTCTTGGATATGCTTAAATGGAAGTTTTCGAGGAAATAACTGATTTTTTTGGGGGGCGAGGTGGGGGGGGATACTAAATCAGTAGCGGGGAGGGCGAAATCACTGAGGGGGGGGGGAGATCGCTG